GAGAGTTACTGTGTTGCGTTTTAATGCATGGCCCAAAGATTGTGCTCCATCGTCTCCGATTCGATTGCAATTAATATTTAGTGTGGTGAGTGTCTAGATGAAGTAGTAGAGGTAAAGACATGATATGTATAAGGAGAGAATGAGAGTTACTGTGTTGCATTGTAATGCATTACCGAAGGATTGTGCTCCAATACTTCCGATTCTATTGCTTTGGAGATCTAGTGTAATAAGGGTCTGGATGAAAAAGTGAAGATAAAGGCATGGTGCGGATAAAGACAGAATGAGAGTTACTGTGTTGCGTTGTAATGTAACACCCAAAGATTGTACTTCAAGAATATCTATTCGATTGCGACCGATATGTAGTGTGGTGAGTGTCTAAATGAAAAAATGGTAGTAAAGACATGGTACAAATGAAGACAGATAAAAGATGGTCGGCATTACATGAGGTTAGAAAAGTGAAATAAATGTTGTTCTGACCCTATTTCAGATCCTATGGTTATTATTATGAATATTTTAAGGAATTTATATACTGCATAGTATTGCGAAGATGTGCTGCGAGAACCTATAGTGAAAAGAAGTCACCAAGGGTGATGTAGGAATAGGAACGTTTTGTTTGTAAGTTGCTGGAATCTCGGAAGGTGTGTGAAAGAGGAAAAAAATTTTAGTTAATGGAAAATAGGTTGCAAGTCACATCTACTCAAAGCAATTGTGAAGTGTAATACTATGTACCCATATGACAACGTATTGCAGTAAGTGTTTTGGAGCGTATTAAAGTATGTTACACTGCGTGTTAGTATTCTGTAAGTATAAGAAGAGATAGTTTCTTGTTAATATTTAATGGACGGTTTTCGTTCGTGTTTATTGTTCAAACTCGTTATGTATTTTGCATCAGAACTCCGTGTAAGTATCGAACTGGATCTTGTCGATTAGTGTGATTCATTTAGATGAGAATGGATATTGATTTCGGTACTAGCATACGGCTGTGTTCATGAAGCGGCATTGATTTATAAAAAGTGAAAAGTTAAACAATGTATTTTGTAATATTAGACTCATTATGAGTAGGACAAGAATGCAAACTGAAGCATCGTGTAAAAAATATTGCTGATAAATAATTCTCAAAACTTCACCCATGAGAAAGTGTGCTTCAGGTGAAATCTGTTTTGGTACAATTATTTTGAAAAAAATGTTGCTTTAGAAGTAGTATTCTTTGAAGAAATATTCCACCTTGATAAAATGGATACGAGTGACGTGATCGAACAAAAATGTGAATATTGCTTTCAGTCAATCTTGTCTCCATCCACATCCACCATCACCTGCATCGATAGTTAT